AAGATGGGAGGGACACCTGCCTATCGTGGGAGGACAGGTGGGAAAGGTGCCTTGCTCTCAGCCCTCTCTCAAGGGCACCAGCAGAAAACGGCACCTGATGTCCCTCAGGGTAGCCTCAGGGGCCAGTGGGAGTGCAAGGAAAAGGTCCTTCCCACTTGCCACCCACTCCCCCCCCCCCGCAGCTCCTTGTGAGCCAGATCTTTCTTGGCAAACTAGGTCATGCTTTCTGCTCGTTTTCCCGAGCAGCACCCAATGTGCAAGTGCCTGCGGATGCCCGCCCTCTTTTCCGAAAAAGGTCCCTGCACTCCACTGCCTGCCTTCCCTGCCCTGGCACATTTGTCTTCCTTTTCCCAGGAAATGTTCTGCTGGGCACCCCTTCATCCTCCCTCCTTTCTGCTGCTGCAGCTGAGCAAGGCCTCGGCTTCAGCCCTTCCCTCTCCCTGAGCTTCCCCCTCCACTTCAGCAGGCCCTGGAGCTGACCTTGCAAGGCCTTGTGGGGTGGTCTGGGGCCTGGCCTGCGCTTAGCAAATGGACATCACTGGTTTTCCTAGCACGTGTGAAATGGCAGGCCAACCACATTCCAGCGTAGCTTGGGCCATTCCCAGAGGCTCTGACTCACGGCTCGGCTGAGGAACTGGTGGCCGCCTGGGATAGGGCGGCCGCCAGAGCCTTGGACCGTGTCGTGCCTTTGCGGCCTCTGACTCGGTGCCGTTCTCAACTGGCTCCTTGGTTCTCCGAGGAGCTGAGAGAGATGAAGCGCCGGAAAAGACGCCTAGAGAGCGATTGGAGGGCCAGCCGCACCGAACCTGACCGAACACTGGCGAGGTCTTATATCAAGACCTACCTAGTGGCAATAAGAGTGGCGAAATTTAATTATTTTTCCACTCTTACTGCATCTGCAGAGAACCACCCAGCCGCCTTGTTTAGGGTGACCCGCTCCCTACTGCAGGTAGGAGCGAGGGAGGATCCCTTGCAGGATAGAGCTGAGGATTTTGTGCAATATCTGCATGATAAAATTGCTCAGATTTGGGGCGGCTTGGACTCCAACTGGGTAGACTCGGACGGGATGATGGAGGTGAGTCTTGAGAATGTTATCTGGGAGGAGTTTGACCCTGTGACTCCTGAGGACGTGGACAGGATTCTGGAGAGGCTTAACGCTAAACACGTTTATTGGACCCGTGTCCCTCCTGGTTGGTGCTGGCCTCCTGGGAGGTTACACGAGGCTGGTTTCAGGAGATTATCAATGCTTCGTTGAGTGAGGGCGTCTTCCCATCTGCCCTGAAAGAGGCGGTGGTGAGGCCCCTCCTCAAGAAGCCTTCCCTGGACCCGGCTGTATTAGCTAATTATCGTCCTGTCTCCAACCTCCACTTCATGGCGAAGGTTGTTGAGAGTGTGGTGGCGAGACAGCTTCCTCGGTTCCTGGATGAAGCCATCTATCTAGATCCATGCCAGTCGGGCTTCAGAGCGGGTTACAGCACGGAAATGGCATTGATCGCATTGGTTGATGATCTCTGTAGGGCCCAGGACAGGGGTTGCTCCTCTGTTCTAGTCCTCCTAGATATCTCAGTGGCTTTTGATACCATCGATCATGGTATCATGCTGCGTCGGCTAGAGGGGGTGGGAGTGGGGGGCACCGTGTTACGGTGGTTCTCCTCCTTCCTCTCTGACCGTACGCAGTCTGTGTTGACGGGGGGCAGAGGTCGACCCCGAGGTTCCTCACGTGTGGGCTGCCACAAGGGTCAGTCCTCTCGCCCCTCCTGTTTAACATTTATGTGAAGCCGCTGGGTGAGATCATCTGTGGCTTTGGGGTGAAGTGTCAACTGTATGCCGATGACACGCAGTTGTACATTTCAACCCCAGGCCACCCCAATGATGCCCTTGACATGATGTCCCATTGTCTGGAGGCTGTGCAGATCTGGATGGGGAGGAACAGGCTCAGACTCAACCCCTCCAAGACTGAGTGGCTATGGTTTCCGAGGGCTCGCAACTTGGGCGTCCTCCTGGATTCACGGCTGTCTTTAGACGATCATATGATGGCCATGGCCAGGGGGGCTTTTTATCAGGTTCGCCTGATTTCCCAGTTGCGTCCCTTTCTGGATCGGGATGCCTTGCGCACAGTCACTCAGGCCGTCGTCATTTCCTGTCTGGACTATTGTAATGCTCTCTACATGGGGCTCCCCTTGAGGAGCACCCGGAGGCTCCAACTGGTCCAGAATGCAGCAGCGCAAATGATAATGGGGGCGACTCGTCGCTCCCATGTAACACCCCTCTTGCGCGAGCTGCACTGGCTCTCGGTGGTCTTCCGGGTGCGCTTCAAGGTGTTGGTTACCACCTGTAAAGCGCTCCATGGCTTAGGACCTGGTTACCTACAGGACCGCATTGTGCCATCGTCTTCCTCCCACCGACCGACACACTCCCACAGAGAGGGCCTCCTCAGGGTGCCATCGGTCAAACAATGTCGACTGGTGAACCCCAGGGGGAAAGCCTTCTCTGTGGGGGCTCCTGCCCTATGGAATGAACTGCCCCCGGACATACGAAGGATCCCCGACCTCTGCGCCTTCCGTCAAGCTCTGAAGACCCTATTATTTCAGCAAGCCGGTCTGACGGGATAAATGATTTTAAATTGGGTTTTAAAAGTGGTTTAAAATGGTTTTAATTGGAAGTTTTAATTTTGGCCAAAGATTGAATTGTTTTAATATGTTTTTTAAAATTTTGTCTTGCTTTTTTTTTTTTTTTTTGCTTTAATTTATATGCCGCCCTTCTCCAGAGACTCAGGGCGGCTTACAATGCGTTAAGCAATAGCCTTAATGCTTTTGTATATTTATACAAAGTCAGCTTATTGCCCCCACAAACTGGATCCTCATTTCACCTACCTTAGAAAGGATGGAAGGCTGAGTCAATCTTGAGCCTGGTGAGATTTGAACTTGCAGTAATTGCAAGCAGCAGATGTTAATAACAGGGCTTAGTCCACTGTACTACAGGCTCTTGTTGTTTTATCATGGCTGTTCACCGCCCTGAGTCCTTCGGGAGAAGGGTGGTATACAAATATAATAAAAACTAAAAAAAACTAAACTAAACTGCCAGCACAAAAGCCCAGGCGTATGTGATCTGGGACTTGATTGTATCTTCACATGCACCGCAGCTCCCAGCCAGGGACCACAAAGTAGCCTTCCCAGCTGGGTTTATTTCTGTGGGTGGCGCTGGCCTCCCAGGATGCTTTGCCTTCAGTGGGCTTCAGATGGGCTGGGCAAGACGCAGCAGGAGAGTCTACACTGGCTTGTGGTGAGCAGAGGGTTCTTCTGGATTCAGGACATGGAGGAGATGATGGGGGGGGATTCTGGGGGGTCTCTTTGGCTCATAACCAACGGCTTGGATGCCGCCAGAGATCCAGTCTCAGCTGGAGGAAAAGTGCCTGGAGGGAAAGAATGGAGGGCCGGTTGCATTGGCTTTTTAGGGAAGGGGGGAAGATGATCAAGTGGCCAGGTACATTTGGGGCGGGGGTCCTTCTGGAACCCTCTGGAGTTTGGGGGTTCAAGTGGAGGCCAGCCCAACAGGCAAAGGTCTACTGGGCAGGCCCACTCCGGTGGGCTTGGGGACAGTGAGGGATTTGACCTCTGACCTCCCAGGCGCAAAGGTGGCTGCCTCTCGGGGCCTCGGGTTCTTTCAGAACGCCAAGCGCCCATGTGCCTGTTTTGAAAGAATCACAAACCACGAAGTGATTGTTGGTTGTGGCTCTTTTGTGCCTGCACAGGCCAGGTGTGTACAGTTTGCACTTCCTGTTGTGCTGTTCTAGGGCTGAAGTGTTGTGAGTGGAAACTTTCCTTCCACTTCCCTCCCTCCCTTCCTGGGGAGGAGAAAAGGGATGGTGGCGCCTCTGACCTTCCCCTGCATCAGAGGCCCCTCTGTCCTCTCGGGAACCATAGAGTCCGAAGGGACTTCAGACCTAATCAAGCCCAACTGCTGCTCACTTATTCTGTTGTATCTTTCGCTACCATTGTGTTGTATTAATTACTTTAATTATTCCTTTTGATTTTGTAACATGTTGCTGTTCATTGACCAAGCAAATATTATTGATTGGTTGATTGATTGAAGGACTCAAGAAGTCATCAAGTCTAAACCCCTTCACTAGACCATGTCCAATAGCCTCTCTTTGAAAACTGATCAACTTTTAGTTATCCTATTTTTAATGTTTGCATGCGGGCATCTTTTTGCATTCCTGAATGTGTTGGTTGCACTGGACTGACCTTGGCCGACCTCAGAAGAATTGAATGGGGTTCAGGACTGCATGACAGAAAATCTCAGACTGAGAACGAAGCTCGGGAAGGAAACCAGGCACGCCTGACTTGATAGAGACTTGGCTAAGTGTGGAGCTGTGGGGCTTTTTCCAGGCAGGGGACCCTCTCCTCTCCTGCTCCCCCTCCATGGCTTGGAGGAGGAGAGAGACCCAATTGCTTCCTGAAAAAGACAGGTGGGACGTTGGGAGGTTGTCTTGCAGCCGGCTGTGCACGCAAGTCAGGCCATGGCGGAGGGGCTGCCTTTCTTGGACTCAGAAGGCACTTCCGCTGTGCTGCCAATTACCCAGAGCAGCTGAGCTCCTGAGAAGATACGCAAGAAGAGGAGTTCAGGGCGAAATTCTGGTATTTCTAGGGAGAATCAGAAGGAAAAGCAGCCTCCTGTTAAGAAGTAGCAATTGGAAGTTGTTGGGGTGTGTGCCCCCCCCCAACGCCCGGCTTTCCACTTCCTGGGATGTTTTAGGGGGGAGGATTTTATCAGGAACCTGCTGTAAGATTGTCAGGGGCGGGAAAGGGGGTGAACTGTGCACATGGTGTTTTTCCTTGTGTGTAAGTGTGTACTAGGATCCCCAGCTGATTTTAGAGGAATTCAAAGGGGGGAGAGAGATGCAGGTATTGCAGCCCCAGAGAGTTTGGCTCTAGAGATCACCTCACACCCAGCCAAGCCATGATTTTTAACCTCTTCTCCTCCCTTCTGTTTCCTTGCAGGGCTCCTGATCTCTTTTTTATGACTCCCCGTCTGGATTTATACCGAATGGAATATCATGAACTGAAGAAATTTACCTTTCTGTTTTTGCTTTCTTAAATTTTTTTCTACTTTTTTTTTCTTTTTATTAAGAAAGCTTTTTTTTTTTTTGGATGATAACACTTTGAATTTTTTTCCCCTTTTAATCTTTTTTGAAATAAAAATTGAGTCACCTCATCTTGTGAGAAGATGGGGAGGAAAAAGATCCAGATCCAGAGGATTACGGATGAAAGGAACCGGCAGGTCAGTCGCATGAAGTGGCTTTATTTGTCTGTGTCCTTAACTGATCCCAATTGATTCACAGTGGCCTCTGCCTTCTTGCTGGTAAAGCAAAGGGGATCAAAGCCGGGGAGAGGCTTGGCGTGCCTGGCTGTGCCTGGTGGGCTTCTGGTGATCTGAGGCACCCAGAGGACCATCTTTGGGGGTTGGGGGAGGGGGTAGGTGTGTCTCTGCATTTTAGGATCACAAGGCTCTGGGATGTCTAGGGCCAGACCCCTTGAAGACCCCACCCAGACTCATTTCCAGGGGTTGGCGTCCTTTCCTGCTATTTCTGGGTCTGGCAGCTGCTTTCCAACCCTTCTCCTTCTGGCTGGGGACTACATCCCTGGCTGTCTTCTGGTTCTCGTTTTATTGGACCACTGAGCATGGTGACGCTCAAGGATATGGCCTGGAAAGCCATTCCTGCTCTCGCTCATCTGGCTTGTAAATAGAGATCTTCAGGGTTTTCAGCTTCTTCCTCAAAGTTCCTGGGCATCCATCCATCCAAATTTAGGATTAGGATCAAGGAAGCAGTTTCCACTGAGGCTGCTTGATGTCATGACTGATACAGGCTGTTCTTTCCAACTTCATGTCCAACTTTGCGAGGAACCCCCCAATTCAGACCTACTGAAACCAAGAGTTAAATCAGCATTTCTGACGTCTTTTGGAATCTCTGGGTGGGGAAGACGATAGGATGGTTCTAAACTTAGCTTCCCATATTTCTGCTTTGAAGTAAATGAGGAAACTCTGGGCTTGCAGTTGTTGGATTTCTAAGGATTTGTGGATTTCCATGGGGTGGGGGTGGGGATCAATCCTATCCTGGTATTAAAGGGGAAACAGATTCCCAAATTGACCTGGGAAACTCAAACCATCACTTCCAAGCAAGCACTGGCTTTCCTTCGATTCCCTTGAAGCAACGCAGAGGATGACTGGAGTGCCAATGGAGAAGTATGGCCTCTTGGGAGGCCACTTCAGGCGCTGAAGTTAGCAAAGGAGTTTTCTCTGCCTCCGTGACATCTTAGCAGTGGCTGGGTTTGTACAGTCCCAAATTCGAGTTAATCAACCTGCTGCTTGTGTTTGCATCATGTGCTATGGCCACATCCTTCCCTGCCCTTTGGGGATCAAGGTCTGAGAGTGACCCCCTGGTGGCCGATGGCCTGTTCGGATTTCCAGCTGCCTAGCAGGTCTGCTCCCTTGGTCCCCTCTGCTCAGGGCGACCTGCAAATCCTATTAGGAGACATGAAGAGTCTCCTTCAGCCGAGCCCGCCCAGCGGGCAAACGTGGGGAGAGGCCCGGGTGGGCTGGTTGGCACTGGGAGCAGGAGGGGCTTGGGATGGGAGACCATCAGAGAGGAATGCTTATGCAATTGGACACCCCCTTCAGTCTGTTTCCTGGAAGGTCCCCTGTGTGCCCAGCGGGTGCTCTTAGAGGGTCCCAAATGTCTCTGTGTGATGTGCCCCCATTTTCACCCCTCCCCCAGTGCTCTGAAATCTCTTTCAATCCAGTTGGACTCCTGAGGTGGTCAGTCTTGAATCTGAACAAAATCTCCAACCTTCCTTCACCCATTGGGCCCCCAACTCCTGGCTTCCTGAACATCTAGAGGCCCCATTTCAGTGGGCAGCTGAACTCCCAGGAAAAGCTGCATTGGGTGGGGTGGGTTGAGCAGAGGAAGGAGGCAACAGCAACCTTGTAATATAAGTATGAAGTATTGAAAAAAAAGATTGTTATTTTGAGGAGAAATGCTACATTCATGTGCAAATGTATGTGGATTTGAATCAATCAATCAAAAGTCCCACGATTGACTGACTGACTGAACGTTCTTGATCATGTTTCTCAGCATTCTGCAGTGATTTGGAGTAGGAGTGTGCAGAATTTTTTTTTTTTTGAAAAATATTTTTTTATTTTTTAAAAAAACAAACACATAAAATACATCTTTTAAGAACGGTCTTGATCCAGTCATAAATAGGTACAATCGCTTACACTTCTCTTCCAAGCTCTATTCCAAATTTTTTCTAATACATCTTTTAAAATTAAAAGTCAAAACATAAATTTTTAACACAAATTCTAATGTCTTAATCTAAACCATTCTATTGTTTTACCACAAATCTTAATTTCCAAATAGACACAACTTTTTATATCCATTTATTTATTTATTTATTTATTTATTTATTTATTTATTTATTTATTTATTTATTTATTTATTTATTTATTTTTTGGTTCAATTTATATGCTGCCCTTCTCCGGAGACTCAGGGCGGCTTACAATGCGTTAAGCAATAGCCCTCATACTTTTGTAGATACCTGCTTAGTAGGGCTTTCAGGCCCCCCCAAGTGGTGTTCTTTTTTATACAAAGTCAGCTTATTGCCCCCACAATCCGGGTCCTCATTTTACCTACCTCTAAAGGATGGAAGGCTGAGTCAACCTTGAGCCTGGTGAGATTTGAACTTGCAGTAATTGCAGGCAGCTGGTGCTATTTAACAGCACTTTAGTCTGCTGTGCCACCAAGGCTCATTCTTTTTAAATCAAAATTCTATCTAGCTCATTACATCTTTCAACATTAAAATCAAAACACAAATTTTTAAGAAATATTCTAACCTCTTAATCTAAGTATTTGCCTTACTATTTTATCACCACAAATCTTAATTTCCAAATGTATACAATTCTATTTTTATTTCAATTTATAAATCAAATTTCTTTCTGCATTCTTTAATCTCTAGACCCATTTTGGCAAATCTTTAAATCTTAAAACTTATTAATTTACACTTAATTTTCTTGAACTTATCATCTATTACACTTTTCATTTTACACAGATTCATTTCATACTCATTCCACTTCATTTTAATTGTCTTCCAATATATTCTTTTTCACGCTGTATCTATTGTTTTAATTAATTTCCAACATTTTTACATTCAAATTATTTCCGACATATCCTCCTCCATACCTCACTATTATTTGGATAATTCCCAGCATCTTATTTTAGCTGTTTTCCAGCATATTCTCCTCCACACCTAGATCTATTGTTTGGCTGATTCGCAGCATCTTTTATTTTGGCTGTTTTCCAGCATATTCTCCTCAATACCTCCAACTATTGTTTGGCTGGTTTCCAGCATATTTTAATTTGGCTGATTTCCAGCATATTCTCCTCCACATCTCCAACTCTTGTTTGGCTGGTACCTAGCATTTCTTGTTTTGGCTGTTTTCCAGCATATTCTCCTCCACCATTTCTATTATTTTGGCTGAGTCACAGCTTGTGTTATTGGCTGCTTTTCAGCATATTCTCCTCCATATCTCCACTTGTTTGGCTAATTTTCAGTATATTTATCCATTATTTAACTTTTTCCCAACATACTCTTCCTGGGTGATTTCCAACATGTTTCTTAATATTAATCATTTCCAAAACAAATTAAACTCAGTCTTATTTTGCTACTTAAATCTTTGTATCTTAATTTATCATCCAATTAATACATTAATCATTCATATTTAATCATATTTACCATTCTCAATTTTGTTTACAATTTGAAATTGAAACATATTACATCAAACATATTCTCCACATATTCTCCCATAATCTAATAAATTTTCTTAAATTTATCTAATATTAATATATACTCTTATTCTTTCACAACAATATCGTTTTTGTCCACCTTTACATCAATTTTCTAGTTTAATTACCTTGTTTTATTTTCCATCTTTATTACTCTATAAGCACCTCCTGTTTGTATTTAAAATTCATTTAAACATTTAAGCATTCCGTTTTCATTTTATATATTTTATTTCTTCATTTCCCTATCTGTCCATAATATTCCACTTCAGATTCAGTATTGCCATATTTAAAACTCTATATGTCATTTTAATTCTTTGTAACTTCTATTCCATATAAAATCCATCAGCTTCTCTTCTTTTGTTCCTGCGCCAGTTAGTTTCAGTTTTACTAGTCCTGTTATATTTCCTCTTTCTTTCCACCTATAAAGCCTCCTATAGACAGAATCGGAATCTCCAAGATCAAATCCATAGTCATTTTCAAAGTAATCCAGAATAAATGGCAAGTCACAATGTTCCTTTTTCAAGCAGAAGACAAATCGCTACAATCCACTTCATTCTTGGGAGGATGTTGGCTAAATCCCACGGCCGCCCCCTCTGGCTTGTCTAGGGTGGGGCCCATTTCACACGAGGCAAAGAATGCCATTGGTTGAGGGTGTCCTTGGAAACAAAGGAGGGTTGGCAGGGTGTATGCTTTTAAGAGGGAGACCCTCCGACCCACAGCTCAGGCCTTGGGCTCTCACCCACAGTGAGAGCTTTTCAATGGGGCCAGGGGTTCCTGTGGTTCCTGGGCCACAGTGAAGGATGGGGGGGGGAGGGAAAAATAGCCCAGTTATTCAAATACTAAATCTTTTTTTTTAAAAAGCAGAGAAAACTTGCTGGGGTCAAATGATAACTTGCTCTGTTGGAAAAGAAATATTGGGTAGGAGAAACAAGATTCAGGGCTCCCTGGGGGTGCGCATGGCTGCTCAGTGACTTCTGTGGTTGGGGTGTAGAGGTGTTGGGGGAATGGGACACGGGAGCATTTGTGATTTCTCACCATGATGAAGGAGCAGCGTAGATTTGTGGTTGTGGGTGAAGGAGGGCTTAAGGCTAAGGCCCAGGGCTGGGAGTGTGAACAAGAGGCAGAAGCTTCCTTATGGGCAGTGATTAGAATACAAATTCTGCCCACTGCCAAGAATTTGATCCTGACCGGCTCAAGGTTGACTCAGCCTTCCGTCCTTCTGAGGTCGCTAAAATGAGGGTCCAGGTTTTTGGTGGCAATTCACTGATAGTTATAGACTGCTTAGAGAGGGATGGAAAGTACTATGAAGCGGTACATGTAGTCCTTGATTTATGACCCTAATTGAGCCCAAAATTTATATTGCTAAGTGAGAAATTTTTAATTGGGTTTTGCCCCATTTTACAACCTTTCCTGCACATTTGTTAAGTAAATGTCTGGAGTT